TCTACAGTTCCTCCTTTAAACCATCAACATTTTGTTCCAATTCAATTAAACAAGCGCGTTCCATCTTCTCCTCCAATTGAGAGAGGAAGGGGTTAACTGAATAATTTGCTGAAACATCTAAATTCCCCAAAACTTGGACCTTGGATTATTTTTTCTCTCAGTTTATTCTCATACAGGACCCCTGGAAACTGCCAGGGTAACAGAGGCAGTGTGTTGTCTTCCCACAGCTGTCCGTCTGTCTCTCTCTCTCTCTCTCGTGTGGTCTTCTCTGAGGAGGGAGTTCTCCACCACCTCGTGGGTCAAAGCTCCTGCTGTGGTGTGGATTTCTCTATCCAAACCAACACTTATCTTTTTCCTCCATTCCCTACTCTTATTGTCTCCCCAGGAATTTTTTTTTGGTGGCTAATAATTCCTCCTCTTTTCTGCCTCCTCTTTACGCAACATCAGTTATTCCTACTCATGAGTTCTCCATCAATGTCCATTCCCATACTCACCCTTATTGCCTCATTTCCACTGTAATGGTTTCTATTTTTCTCATTTCTTCACTCCTTTTACGTTTTCTTATTCGTTTTCTTCCCTTTTTTATATCTTTTTCCCTTCCCTCTTCCCATTTTCCCGCCTTTTTCTGTCTCCCTTCCCTCTCTTGCCCAACTGAGGGCTTCTCTTTTCCCTCCTTTTGTCTCTCAATTGCTCTGATGCCCTCGTCTCCCTCCACTTTCCAGGGTAGAGGGGTGCTTTTTCCACCCTCTTTCTCGCAACATATCTAAGAAAACTAAAAGAAACTGCATGCTTTTCTTCATGGCCACCGAGAACCTACAGTACACTCTTCTTTGGGTTAGGTTTTTATTTCAAATATTATTTTCTGAACTGCTGTAGGATCTTTGAGTCTTATCACTCTAAACGCACCCTGTTTTTCTTTATATTTTCCTTATTTCATGATGGTTTTATTCTTGGTATGTTTTGTGAACTGTAGGGAAATGTTTGGCGGTGTGGAAGAGAGTGGAGCATAGCAGTCAGGGCAGGAAATGCCATTATGGCTGCCAATGGTTCCTAGTTGACAGACACTGTTCTAAAATAAAATGGCAAACTATGGATCAGAGCATTCGTAGACGTGATGTTTTTGGAAACTGACAGGATGTGTTATTTATTTATTTAAAATTTTATAACCCATCCTTTCTCTTTTTAAAAGGACCCCAGGTGCCTTAGAACAATGAAAAGACAGTGTTTCAGTTTGCAAAATGAGTATAACAACACTAAATGGATAAATTAGCATAATATACCAAAAACATAAGCCCTCCAGCCCTCCCTCCAGCCACTATTTGATTTATTTTTTCTTTTTTCTTTCCATCTTGAACAATTGAATACTGATGTTGTATATTGTTGACATATTTAAATTGTTTTATTTTTAAGTGTTAAATGGATAACATAATATACCAAAAACATAAGCCCTCCAGCCCTCCCTCCAGCCACTATTTGATTTATTTTTTTCTTTTTTTCTTTCCATCTTGAACAATTGAATACTGATGTTGTATATTATATTTATATTTAAATTGTTTTATTTTTAAGTGTTGTTAGCCGCCCAGAGTGGTCAGTTGACCAGATGGGCAGGATATAAATAAATAAATAAATAAATAAATAAATAAATAAATAAATAAATAAATAAATAAGCAACATCAAAATACACACAATGCTCTCTATGGTACAACAATCCATTAAAAAAATTCCACCTGGCACCCTTTCACTCAGGGAAAGCTTTCCAGAAGAGAAAGGTTACTACTTTGAACAGCGTAGCTAATAAAAACCCCCACAATGAAGCTACCAGGGCCAAAACCCCATTCCCATTCGAAGCTGCATCTCTCCTGAACCTTCAGCTCTTCAGATGATGAACGACTCTTCTCACCATGATTCTCAATTGTGGGGTCCCACAGGGCTCGATTATCTCCCCAATGCTGTTTAACATCTACATGAGGCCGCTGGGTGGGGTCATCAGGGGGTGTGGAGCACAGTGTCATCAATATACTGATGACACCCAGCTCTATATTTCCTTTTCACCAACTGCAGGAGATGCTGTTCTGTGCCTTCAGCGCTGCCTGGAGGCCGTACTGCAATGGATGCAGGAGAACAGGCTAAGGCTGAACCCAGACAAGACAGAGGTACTGAGGGTGGGCCCTCCCTCAGTTGGGGATTTGGGAAACTCCCTCTCTTTTGGGGGGGTAACTCTGCCCGCCAAGGATGGGGGTCTGCAGTTTGGGGATCCAACTGGACCCGGCGCTCACCATGGAATCCCAGGCGGCATCGGTGGTCCGCACCGCCTTTGTTCACCTTAGGCGGATAGCCCAGCTGTGGCCCTACCTTGATGTGGGGGCGCTCACCACCTTGGTGCATGTGCTCGCAATCTCAAGATTGGACCACTGTAATGCGCTCTACGTGGGGCTTCCTTTGAGGCTGCTGCGGAAACTACAGGTGGTGCAGAATGCGGGGGCGAGATTACTCAGTGGAGTGAGAGAATTCCAACATATCTCGCCCACTCTGGCCGCATTGCATTGGCTGCCCATCCGATTCCGCATCGACTTCAAAATGTTGACGCTTATGTATAAAGCCCTAAACGGTTTAGGACCTCGATACTTGGCGGAACGCCTTCTCCCACCAAGTTCTACCCGTGTCACTCGTGTGAGCCAGGAGGTGAGGCTGAGGAGCCTAACACCAAGGGAGGCCCAGAAGGAGAAGACAAGAAATTGGGCCTTCTCGGCCGTGTCTCCTCGCCTCTGGAACAATCTACCTCCTGAGATTCGCGGAGCTCCCTCGCTGGGTATCTTCAAGAATCAATTAAAGACATGGATGTTTCGGCAGGCCTTCCCACCAGACAATTCCTGACATTCCTTTTCTTTCCCCCTCTACTGGTTTTCTATCTTTGTAAGGTTTTTATTATTAATACTGTTTTATATATGTTTACTTTTATCATTTTCTGATTGTTAGCCACCTAGAGTGGTCCTGAGTTGTCTAGATAGGCGGGATATAAATAAAATAAATAAATAAATTCTACATTGGCAGAGTTGGCTACAAGGATGGGATCTGGAGCTCAGCGCATCTGGACGGCCACAGATTGACCAGTCCAGCATTATGGGCCCTGCAGTGGCTAGCATGAGTTTGGACACCAGTCCAACATACAAGAACTATTGTTGCTGCTCTTGTTACTGTTCTTACTGCCTTGATAAAGAGAGATTAGCATCAGCTGGAGAAAAAGGGGGTCTTACCGACAGAGGATAGCATCTGCCAGTTCTCCTCCATGACTTCCTGGTGGAGGGCCTTCTGGTCGGGATCCAGCAGCGCCCACTCCTCCTGAGTGAAGGACACAGCCACCTCCTCAAAGGTCACTGGACCCTAAAAATGGAAAAGAAAGAAGGCCTTCTTCATAGGATTAATAAAGATAACCTCCTCAATCCCAAGGAACAACTGAAGAGAAGTTGGTGGATCTCATATTATAGGTTTCAACTGAATACTGGAGGGAACATTTACTAAGGGCTACCAGTCACTTTGGCCAAATGCTCCAGAAGTCTCCGTACCCCAGTGGCTGGGAATGAACAGAGAGAGGGAAAGTGCTACTGGCGGCCTGCCTGCCTGCCTTTGAAGCTTCCCTGAGGCATCAAGGAAGACTCTTTGGGGCACAGGATGATAGACTGAACCAGCCTTTACGCTGATCCAGCACAGGTAGTCTTCATCTCATCACTTCCACATGAAAAAGGAAGGCTGAGAAATGTATTCTGGATGAGAAAATAGGGAGAGGAAAGTAATTCCTTCTGTCCCCATATTCGGTTTTGGAAAACCTCAAACAATTATTGGCCCGTTCTTCAAAACAAAAGAGAAACAAAGTTCTTTAGCACATGGAGAAAGCCATGCTTATCAGCCTGCCATATAATTATTCGCAATGTGGATCATCTCATTAAAAAAAAAGCATGGCCAGCCTCAATGAAGAGTAAAGTGATTAAATACTCCAGGATTGGAATCCACGTGGTGTCCCGTAACCCCCTTCTTTGTACCTGATCAAGTTCCACTGCATCACCAGGAAGAGACGAAGGAATACTTGTTGCTGGAATCTTCACCGACCCTGCAGGACAGAACAAGTGGGTGGAAAGCCATTCGCATAAGTTTCTCTCGAAATGAGATCATGAACTCAAGAAATGCAAGCTAAAAAGGATTCACGTCCCAGTGAAAGACACTGGTTCCCACATAATGAATGGTGCCCCTTCAGGCAAGTGTGAGAAAATGGTATTCCAAAAGTACGAGATAGTATATACGTTTTCTTTAGTGAGTAAACACATTTTTCCAACACACAATACTAAACACCATACCACATACCAAACTCCTTAACTCAGAACTGTGCCAAATGTAGAATTAAAAAATATTATTCAACAAGCCAAATTCTTCAACTGGTGGATGGTATTGTGCGGTTTATTTACGGTATTTCTTACAGAAAATTTTCCATTCTCATGTTGTCACAAAAGAGAAAAGAAAAAGAAAAGATTTTCTGAATTTCTTTTTCATTTTAAATTACAATCAGAAATTTTTGCATAAAATGTGTTGGATGATGGCAAAGGCGATATGGGGAAATGAAAGCATTTCTCAAGAATGAAAAACAAGTGTAATGCCAAACATTTTTAGATCCATTGGGGTTAGTCTGTGGGACAGTGACTCCGGTGGTCTCCTTCTGGTCCCAGATGAACTATGGGACTGACTGGTTGATGCAGAGCCATCCACTCTCCCCTCAGCCTGATCTCCCTCACAAAGTAACGAAGGCAGCTATGAGCACCTCAGAAGAAATGTGGGATATCACTATAACCAACCCACAAACTAGTACAGTACCCATCGTTGAATCAAAATTTGTACTTTAGAGGATTTCTCTTTCCGATGGTATAAAAGCAATACTTTTCTAGACCAGACACAAATTAACTCCCCCATGTTTGCCAACACTACAACCTCCAAGCTAAAACTTGTGGCAATAGCCCCAACCAATTCTGCAGTTACTTCCGCAAATACGCCTGCTCCTCCAGATGACACCCTTTTGGTAGCCCTGGCCCCGGTCCTACCTGACAAGCCCCCAGTGAACGCACACTTGGAGTGTTCAGTTATTTCGGATTGACTTACCGTACCTACCCCTGACGTTGCATCCCCCCAACCTGGCTTGAAGTTGCTTTCTTGGAATGTAGGTGGATGGCGCAACAAGGCTAAGGATCCTGACTTTCATGCTTATCTCAGGAACTTTGAGGTCATCTTACTACAAGAAACCTGGATAGTCACTCCACTAAAATTTGAGGGCTATAACTCCATATCCCTAAAGGTAAAGGTTCCCCTTGACAATTTTTGGCCAGTCTTTTGCGACTCTAGTCGTGTTCGACTCATCCCCGTTTCCAAGCCATAGAGCCAGCGTTTTTGTCCGAAGACAATCTTCCGTGGTTACATGGCCAGTGCGACTTAGACACGGAACGCTGTTACCGTCCCTATTGATCTACTTGCATTTGCATGCTTTCGAACTGCTAGGTTGGCGGGAGCTGGGACAAGTGATGGGCGCTCACTCCGTCGCGTGGATTCGATCTTATGACTGCTTGGTCTTCTGACCCTGCAGCACAGGCTTCTGCGGTTTAGCCCACAGCGCCACCATGTCCCTTTCCACATCCCTACCAGCCCATAAAGTTAAGGGTAAAGGCCGCCCTGCTGGAGGCCTAACTTTTCTGTGTAAGACCCACCTAACACCTGTCCTAATGTTCATGGCAGACAGCCATTGTATGGTGCAAGTGGTCAAACTTAGTATGCTTCCAGGAACCTTGGTCATCTTCAGTGTATACATACCACCCAACCCTGACAAGCTCTGCAGAGAGAAACAATGGGACTATTTGCAATACTTTTCTAATAGGCCTCCTTGAGAGAAACAGAACAGCTAGCTATGTAAAAAGGCCACATAAACTAAAAAGGAAAATACAGGTTTGACGTATAGAAAGAACTACAGACTAGTGTCCCTTGAACGGCTAGCTAAGTAAAAAGGCCACATAAACCAAAAAAGGAAAATACAGGTTTGACGTATAGGAAGAACTACAGACTAGTGTCCCTTTAGCCCAGTGGAGGTGAACCTTTTTGGGCTTGTGTGCACAAACTGGGAAAAACAAAAGCAAAACGAGGCATTGTGCCGCCACTGTGGTGGTGGTGGAGGCAGCAGAAGTGGCGGTGGAAGGGGGAATCCTGGGCACAGAGGTGTCTCGAGACCCAACTCTGGATCTGCCGCCATAACCAGATGCTCCAGATCCTGACCTGTTGCCTGTCTGGGCACCAGGTTTTGCTGCGGGGGGGGGGGGTAGTGATCTGACAACTTATGGCTCGTGTGCTGGCAGAAACAGCTCAACGTGCCAGCTGTGCCATACTCGCCATAGGTTCGGCATAGCTGCTAGCCTAAAAAGGTACGAGGGGAGGGGATACTCAGACAGAAACACAAACACAAACTCTCCCCACATGAATCCTTACCTACTGAACTGGAACTTTCCTCGTTGCCTCGATGGCTCTCTTGTCGTTGCGGCTTTTTTCCAGCGTTGAAAGAAGATTTCTCTGCTGGATTGAAATCAGGCTGGATTGCTACTGAGGGATTTCTCCTCTGAGGATCCATTATGTGGAATAAGAAGATAAAAAAGACACATCATGCTCGGATTTTTAGAAGAAAAAAATCTGGAACTGATATAAATTGGGGGATTTCAGTTCTCCACCCTTTCGAGTAGTGATGGACAAGATAGAGGAGTGGATCCCATCCTACCAGCGCACACCCCAAATGGCTGAAGTGGAAGCTGTGCCGATGTATGAAGTAAACCTGCAATTTTCTCAAAAAAACAGCCACACTGAGGGCGGGGGGAAGAACATACCCTGTTTAAAATGGAAGAGGGACTCCCCAATGTAAGGAACTGTGATTTGTTTTCAAAATATGATGCACATGGACCACACATCTTGCTTTCAAAGACCATAAGGGACGACGGGGGGACCCAATAACATCGACCTGACAGGCAGAGGATGTGGGCCACCCACTCTCAGACATTAATTGCTCTCACCTTTTCCTCTCCTTGTTTTTTCTCTTCTGCCTGACTCAGACTCAGGAAATCTTCTGCCAGGGCCACCGCCTGGGAAGTGGTCTCGGCTCCACATTCTCTCACCCAGCTCGACATCTCCAGGGGGAGGATGGTCAGGAACTGCTCCAGGATCACCAGGTCCAGGATCTGAGCCTTTGTGTGTTGCTCTGGTTTGAGCCACTGATGGCAAAGATGGCAGAGCCGAGTGCATACTTCTCGAGGACCATCAGCCTCTTCGTAGGAGAATTTCCTGAATTTTTGGCACTGTGTATCTGAGCTGAGCATCTCCTCACCTCGGACCTTCTGCGCCGTTCTTTCCTCGCAGATCCCAAGACCTCCTGCCTTGAGAACATCAGGGTCTCTTCCTTCCCTGGGGCCAGATGTGTGTTGGGCTGCCATTTTACTCTGCACCCAACAATGCCTCCAATGAAGTCCTGGAACCCCTCTCCTTCTGCGGAGAAAAGACTGCCTTAAGAGACCAGACTATGGAAGCTCTGCAAAGCTAAGACCCTCCCGTGTTAACACAGTTAAGGCAAAAAAGGGCAATAGAGCAGCCACCGATCAAACCTCATCTCCAGAAATAAAAGGCAGGAGAATCCCAAGGCTGATCTCAGAGAAAGGCATGTGGGACTGTTCTTTCACTTGACAGCCATTGACTAAAGTCCTTCAGACCTTCAGAGGGTCAGACGTGGAAGCATCTGCCACTGGGATGGATCTTTTCAAATTACTTCAAAGTAAAACAAAACAAGTTTGTAACACTCTTCCTTCCTTTTGAGAGGTAGTGTTCCAGGAGATGGAGGTTTTATTCCTAACTACGGTAGCCTAGAGGTGCCTTTATAGAACAGGAAATGGTTCAGCCCAGGACAGAATCCTGATTCTAGAGGGTTCATAATTTTTCTCATAATTATTAGCTAACATCTCTGAATTCCCTATTAATTGCTATCCGCGAAATATGAAACAAAATCAACCATGAGGCACCAGGAACATCACCAATGCTATCCCAGACTCCTTTTCTTGAGTGTTTTTATTTTTATTTAGATTTCGGTTTTTTTGTCAACCTTTTCTAAGCACCCATTTTGGAAGCCTGTAAAGCAAATCTTGAGGAAAGAAGGTAAGAAAATGAATCCATTAAATCAGAAGAAGTTTTTCATGCTTTTCATATAAATATTTTCCCACGGGATCTCCCCCAAACCATCTACAAATCCCAGATCTACTTTGTTCCCACCAAAGAAATCTTGGGTCTTGGGACATGAAAAACCATGGAAGAGGAAGGAGAGGGCTCCAAACTGGCAGAGCCAGTTGGGTGATTTTGGGGGGCTTGGGGAAATTCCTTTCCCAAGGGGGCTGGGGTCGCTCTTGCAAAGAAGCAGATGGAAAAGAGCCCATTATAAAGTGTTGGGGTGGCCCAAGATATTCTACTGCCTGAAGCACAGGAGAACATACTCCACACAGACGAATATATGAAATAAAGGCCCCAGTTTGAACACTGGAGGTGGGACAATGTGCATTGATGGCTCCCAGGGAGGCCAGCAGTCCAGCTCTGGAAGCCCGAGAGGAGAAAAGGCCAGAAGGGGCTCATCGGGGAGGAGGGTTGGGGGACCCTCAGGGCCGTCCCTCTCCCTTCTGCCGCCCGAGGCCGCCTCCTCGCTCTTCTTAAATCTTCCTCCTTAGGCTTTCCCACACGAAAGGGCCAGAAACTCCCATCGAGAGGAACTAAACCCGTCCCTCTCAAGCTCCCCCGCGTGTTTCCCTCATCAAATTCAGCTCCAAACATTTCCAAGAATTTCCAAGGACTCAAAGGGGAGGGGATGAGAAGGGGAGCCACCGTTTCCCTCTCCCTCCTCGCTTCTTTTACTCACCAGGAGACCCCTTTTCTTCCCGACTTTCCTGCCCAGAAATGACACCCCTATTTCCCCTCCTTTCTGACTTATTATTTTCTCTCACGGGTTTTCTTTTCCCACCAAAATCCAGATCAAAAAAACACTCACCTCCCCACCTTTTGTCTTTCAAGAAAACAGGCTGAGGCTCTTGTTTCTAGACGGTCCCGTTTAAAGTTCCCTCCTTTCCACTTCGGGCTGAAGGTCGGGGTACAAAAGCCTGCACGGTTTTAATGGGTGAAAACCCTTCCTCTCCCTTTCTTATCACGTGACTGAAGCCGAGCCAGGCTCCTGGCAGGCCGAGAACAGACTCGACCAATCTCCTCTCGGAGCGCCTGGATTGGGGGAGTCTTGGTCTCTCTCTGCCTCTTTGGATCGGTCAGGGAAAAAGGAATTTATTTGAAAACATGATCTGCCAGGGAAAGAAATGAACCAGAAAGCCTCTACAATTTGATCTTTTTCTATGTCATCTTCTGTTCCTGTTTTTTTTGTATCAAAATATTCCCTGGGGCTGTTGGGCAGTCTGTTTTTCTCTCTCTGATTTAAAGTACCTGCATAGTATTTTTTAATAATTTCCACAACAGGTCCCCACCCTAAGGGGTTCATAGCTCAAGTTCGGAGAGAGGGACCCAGTGTTCAGTCATCAACTGGGTCTTTTTGGCCCTGTTGGGAGATCTCCTGGTGTGCCTTTGGCTCTTTGTGCAGTTGCTGAAATGGCCTCTGCTCTGCTCCCAAGCGCTGGTGCTAGGACTGAAATGGGACCTCCAAAATGGGCAGTGGGGTGAGGTGGCTCCCCATGGCTTTGGTAACCACCAGCCCATCAGACACCTCAATAGGATCTCTGCCTGTTTGTTAAAAGAGTGGCAGAAGGTGGGGGATGTGGGTCAGGGGAGGGTCTGTGTGGGGGAGAAAGGCTCCGGTCCTTTCCCAGGTCAGGAGATGGGTGTGAAAGGAGGGATCGGGGCCTTTCGCTTGACGGGCAGGAGAGGATCAGGCCCTCGCAGACGACAGGATCTCTTGCTTCCTGTTGCAAAGATTATTTTATGGTTTCTTTGAATCACTGCATTCCTCTCAGTTTCTCATCACCTTCCCCTTCCCACCAAGAAGCACTCGGTTTTACACCCTTATTTTCATTTTAAGATTCCCACTTTTAGTTCCAAATACACACCTTGTGGTGATACAGTTTATGAGGTGAACTAAAACTGACACAAAAAGAGAGAGCGAGGGAGCCAGCTTTCAGGATGGCTATGCCTTCACCAAGCAGGAACATACAAAATTAAACCAAGGAATGTTTTTTTTTTAAAAAAGCAGCAAGAATCAATATGTAAATCCACGTTTGCTAATGAAACAAAAACAGATGAGTGGAGACCTCCTTTTATATAGAATTACCCAGAGACAGAAAGGAGGCAGTCTTTACCTTATTGGGCTTCAGATCAGCACCAACTCTGGCAAGGATGTAATTGTCGGCTACCTCAAGGACTGTTCATTAACTGTTCATTAAGCAACCACTATTGCCGCCATAATTTACGTCACAGCCTTTTCCACTTCTGGATTCCAAAACTCCTTTCCAAGTACGCCTACACTTCTAACAGGAGCTGGACTTCATGTATGGGGTGAAAAGGCCACAGTCCTTGCAGACCTTCTGCATTTCCCTTGACAAATTTGTTCTTTGGCGATTAACACTGCCCCAGAAAGTGAATGATGTGCCCAGTTTTATCCTCTGCAGAAGAAAAATTGTGACAAAATAGAGGCTTTTGAGTCATAAATTCTGATACTGGAACCACTCTGGGCAATACATTCATGCATTAAAATAAAATTGTCCATATCTTATCATGCCTCAAAAACTGGACAATCATTTAGTGGCCGAAAATAATATCCAGAATCCACGATTGTGTAACTTGTGGCAAAATTTTCACAAAGAGTAGGGGGAGGGGAGATATGTGCCTCAGAACCTTGTCAATTAGCTGCAATTAACCACAGAAAATTATGCACACCTTACACGAGAAGAGCCGTCTGATGGTTGGCTCTCCAAGATACAGGAGTGTAATTTCAAAGAATATGAGCATCATCCAGAGAGTTATTTTCTTAATGCAAAACTAATGGGAATCCTAATATTCAGTCAGAAAGTGGTATCATCCCCAAGACAAAAGAAGACTAGGTAGATGTTTTGTAAAAAGGGGGAAATGAATTCCAGGCTAATACTGAAGAGCCGTCTGATGGTTGGCTCTCCAAGATACAGGAGTGTAATTTCAAAGAATATGAGCATCATCCAGAGAGTTATTTTCTTAATGCAAAACTAATGGGAATCCTAATATTCAGTCAGAAAGTGGTATCATCCCCAAGACAAAAGAAGACTAGGTAGATGTTTTGTAAAAAGGGGGAAATGAATTCCAGGCTAATACTAATATAACATCTGCTGTTTCAATAAAATTATTTTTAATTTCCATCAATGAAAACATGGTTTCATATTGATTACGCCAAACAGAACACGCTGGGGAGAATACTCCCAATGAGGTCCTTCAGGGTCAAAGCAGTACTGTGAATTGCGCCACTGAATTGCTACTAATTAAAGGTTCATGGTTTGATCCCACACTGGGTGCTCAGTTGTATGAAATGATGCATAGTGAGTGACACAAGCAGCAAGCCATTAACTGACGATGATTCATGGCCAACTATTTGCACCATTGCCACCCAAAACAAAAATAATAATAATACTGTAATCAAGTAATGAAAGAAAAGCCGTGTAGTCTGACTAAACACAAATTTCCAACACTAACTAAATTTCCTCATAGTACTATACAGTATCACCTTCAATATGAACTAGGTTTCAATAAAGATAAAATACATTCATTGAAAAGAAACAGATCCACCAGAAAGCCAAATGGTCTACCAAGGAATTGTTCAGCTCAAACGGTCCATTGCTTTTATAAAAGCTTTAAGTCCCAGAAATTCCTTTCCAGCAGAGTTTTGTTTTGTAACTATTTCGGTTCCTTCATGAAAGCTTAGGACCAGAGGTTTGTCAATACAAGGCCTAGAACATAAAAGTACAAACACATTTCCAAAACAACTTAAACAATGACACATCCTGGGGTGGGAAGGAACCGTGGCTCCTTAAGAGGCCAGGATTTTTGCTCTGAATTTTATTTTTGCTGGAGACATTCAAAAGAAAGGCATTCAAAATACAAGCTTCATGACCCCACAGGCAAGCAGGTAATTAAGCAACCCAAGTCTGAGGGTATAAATCAGTGATTCCCAATCACGTAATACAATTTGTTTTGGGTTCCTACGCATAGTTACTCCAGGAGGGCCTGGCGTGCTCTGGTCCATGGGGTCACAAAGAGTCGGACATGACTTAACAACTAAACAACAACAAAACAAGGAATTTAAAATAATTGTACAAACAGAGGACAAAGAAATACAGAAATGTCTCATCACTACATAAACCAACATCATAAAAAACATGTGTAATCAATATTGGCATTCCAACCATTTGGAATAAGAGATTTTAATGAGAATGTGCTTCCCTGCCTCTCCGTGCAGCTGACTGCTCCATAACTGAGCGGGGAGAGAAAGTGAGGAGGAATTAAAGAACCTTGTAATGAGAGTGAAAGAGGAGAGTGCAAAAAACGGTCTGAAACTCAACATCAAAAAAACTAAGATCATGGCCACTGGTCCCATCACCTCCTGGGAAATAGAAGGGGAAGATATGGAGGCAGTGTCAAATTTTATCTTCCTGGGCTCCATGATCACTGCAGATGGAGACAGCAGCCCTGAAATTAAAAGACGCCTTCTTCTTGGGAGGAAAGCGATGACAAATCTGGACAGCATATTGAAAAGCAGAGACATCACCTTGCCAACAAAAGTCCGAATAGTCAAAGCTATGGTGTTCCCTGTCGTGATGTATTGAAGTGAGAGCTGGACCATAAAGAAAGCAGACCGCAGAAGAATTGATGCCTTTGAATTGTGGTGCTGGAGGAGGCTCTTGAGAATCCCCTGGACTGCAAGGAGAACAAACCTATCAGTTCTAAAGGAAATCAACCCTGAGTGCTCACTGGAAGGACAGATCCTGAAGCTGAGGCTCCAGTACTTTGGCCATCTAATGAGAAGAAAAGACTCCCTGGAAAAGACCCTGATGTTGGGAAAGTGTGATGGCAAGAGGAGAAGGGGACGACCGAGGATGAGATGGCTGGACAGTGTCTGCGAAGCAACCAACATGAACCTGACACAACTACGGGAGGCAGTAGAAGACAGGAGGGCCTGGCGTGCTCTGGTCCATGGGGTCACGAAGAGGCGGACACGACTAAACGACTAAACACACAACACTTCCTTAAAGTGTAGTTAAAGTTTAAAATTTCTCATGAAATCCACAGGCAGAAGATTCTCATGCACATCTGAGAAATTTAAATATTGATGTGTGTCTTGATTCAGAACCTGGAAAAGTTACCTTTTTTCAGCTACCCCAACCCCAGAAATCCCCAAACAACACAGGGATTCTGGCAGCTGCATTCTAAGCAAATAACTTTTCCAACCTCTTAGGTATATGCCCCTCTGCTCCACAGTGTGACCCTCCCTTGGGCTATCTTTAAAAGCTGTGCAACTGGCCTTGCCAAACTGCCCACATACATTTTGGAACTATCACAGATTATCAGGCAAACTAAATGGGGTGTTGAACATATTGAGAATAACCCAGATTTAAAAACAAAATCAACCCCAGAGATGGTCAAATGTGATCCCTCAATACTGTGTGATTGCACACATTACACATCCTACATTTGAAATGTCCTATTGTTAAAGCACTTCCCTGGGTCCTAGTACTAGTTAACATGTCAGTGTGACTTAAAATTTCCTTTAAAACCCTCGTTCTCTTAAACCCAAATTTTTAGGCATTCCTCTGGAGGTGCCAATTTCTAAGAAAAATTCTTCTTAGTTGACTAGCCAGGAGAGCATAGCTGAAAATGCAGATCAATCTGTCTCAGGTGATCCTTTTTAAAAATCTCTCAGTAGCATTTTCCTAACCTGCGCTACAAGTCAATTCATCCCTGGCACATGAGAAGGAATTTGCCTTTTGGACAATTAGTTAGGATTAAAAGAAATACAGAGGAGAGGCTGTTTCTAGAAAGAAGCTGTAAGATGACAGCAGGCTTCAACAGTAGATGCTAACGTTGGAGGAGGGCCAATGTTATCCCTATCTTCAAAAAGGGGAAAAAAGGGGGAACC